CGTTACTTAAAAAACCTGCAAATATAAATATGTTTCATTAGTCTTTCACATTTTACAAGCTTAAATCATGACACTTATAGAAAGAAAATACGGAGAAATCATATTTGCTCGAAAATTAGGCAAGTCATATAGACAAATTGCCAATCTTGTTAGTTGTAATTCCAAGACTGTCGGGAATGTGTTAAAATGACTTGACAACCCATCTCAAACATTACCGGATCGTCGAGGAAGGCCACCAATCTTAGATGAATCAGCACACAATCGTCTAACACAGCTTGTTCTAAATCATCACCGTATGACTAAAAGAGATATTCAAGCTGCATTGGAACAGCAAGAAGAAAAAGTAATAGTTTTTTTTTTTTTTTTTAATTTGATTTTTTTTTTTTTATCTATTTTATTTATTTATTTTTTTTAATTTTATATTTTATAGGTAATTTCCTGAAGAACTATTAGTCGTACTCTTCGGAAATCTAACCTGTTCACACGTGTTGCTCGCACAAAGCCCTTCATTAATAGCAAAACTAAAAAAGAGCGTCGAGATTGGGCGGAAGAGCATCTTCACTGGGCAATCAAAGAATGGAAGAATGTTCTTTGGTCAGATGAAAAGTATTTTTGTTTAATTCGTCCTAATCTACACCAGTACATATGGAGAATGCTACACGAAGAGTTTGATGATGATTGCCTTGTTCCAGCAATTAAATCTAAAGGTGTTATGATGTGGGGATGTTTTTTTTGGTGGGGTCTTGGCCCTCTTGTCCATCTCCATGGCAGTGTTACAAGTGCATCCTATCGTCGAACGCTTAGTCGTTATGCCATTTCCAAGCTTCAGGACCAATACCCCAACAGTAATGGGATATTTCAACATGATGGTGCCTCGGTCCACAGGGCAAGATTGTTAAAAGATACTTAGCTAACAAGGATATTAAAACAATCAAATGGCCTCCATACAGCCTGGACCTTAATCCTATCGAGAATCTTTGGTTCGAGGTTGAAGAAAAGCTCTGAAAATGTCGTCCAAGACCTGGTAATCTTAATGAGCTTGAACAGATGGTTATAGAAGAATAGGAATCATTATCTCAGAGCAATTTTAGGCATTTAGTTAAAAACGAAGTAGACCATGTCAGAGAAGTATATAATAAAGATAGCGGTCATTTGCACTACTAATTTTTAGGTGGTGATTACACTAAGTATAAGGATCATTCATTTGTGATAGTTACCATAAATATAGTTAAACATTTGCTAAATTAGTATAAAAAATATTTGCTAAATTAATATAAAAAACATTTGCTAAATTTTAAAATACCTGTTCAAGTTCATGAATGTTTCGTCGTATTGTTAATCTTCAAATAAGTTTATAATTTATTTAATTCGTGCTTTGATTGGTAAACCTAAATTAAGAAGAATTAATTATAATCAAAAAAAAAGAAAAAAAATAATTAAAAAAAAGAAAAAAAATTAATTAAAAAAAAAGAAAAAAATAAATTAAAAAAAAAAGAAAAATAAATAATTATAGTTATCTACCGCCCTGGTTAGTTTCACTTTGTAGTCCCGTGCTCTGTGAATCAATCATGAGATCGAAGAGAATTTAAAGGGAATTTACAAATAAGGGCTAGAAAGTGAAAATAATTACAAATGCAGGCCCAAATTAAAAATAATTACATATAAGGGCCTAATTTTTAAAAAATAATTACATATGGGCCAAAATCTGTTGGAGGTTAAAAAAACGTGATCACAAATTACTGCACTATAAATTACTATGACCATGTTTTATTATATACATTTAGAGTTATCTATAAACTGATTATTAGATAATAAAATAAATAAAGCGCTGGTTATAATTATTTTTGCTTAAATAACAGCGTTAAACTAGCACAATTATTTGTAAGGTGAAGAAGTTTTAACTAATAGTGATTTGTTATAACAATAAATAATTTTAGACATACATAAAGAAAATGAACTTTATTATATTTAAAAAATTTTCTTTTCGCATTTATAATTACTAATATTCGAAAAAAAATTTTG